GCATGGATGTTGAGAATGTAGATTTGGAACCAGATTTTATGGTATCAGATCCTGGTTCTGCCTCTCACTTCTGGTTCTGCTTCTCACCTGCTATGTCTTTTTTTTTGGGGGGGGCAGGAGGACTGGGGATTAAATCTGGGGGTGCTTAACCACTGAGCCACCTTCCTGGCTCTTTTAAAATTTTTATTTAGAGACAAGGCCTCACTAAGTTGCTTAGGACCTAAGTTGCTGAGTCTGGCTGTGAACTCGCCATCCCCCTGCCTCAGCTTCCTGAGCTCCTGGGATTACAGGTGTGCGCCACCGTGCCTGCCTCACTTGTTATGTCCTTTTATGTCTCATTTTTCCTCACCTATAAATTGGGGATACTGATGGTATTTACCTTCAAGTACTACTATAAAGAAATAATACATGTAACATATATCTATATCTCTGTAAATCTTTTAGAACATATCTGATATACAGAGAGTACTTGCTGTTATTGTCTGTGAGCATTTCACTCTTCTCTTGTATGGCCCATCAGTTAAGAACAGTCTTTACATTTTTAGGTCATTGCAAAGACATGGGGAAATTATATGAAGTTCAAATTTTAGTGTTTGTGAAACATAGTAGTTATTCCCTTTGGTTCATTTGTTGATATATTGCCTGCAGCAGCTTTCACATCGCCACCACAGGGTCGAGCAGTTTGACAGGGGCCACCTGACCAGCTGAGCCTGAATTATGTGCTCTCTTGTGCTTTATGAAGGAGCATTTTTGATCCCTGTGTAGAGCACAGACACTGAATTATCATGCTTATTCAGGTGTCAGTCTCAGGGCTGTTGATGGCACTTGACCTTTGTCATAGGCTGGTCCTTTCCATTCTTCCATGCCCATTCCTAAGTTGTAATTGTCAGGAATATGTCATATTTTGTGGTATTTGTATTTGTGCATGGTAAGTGTGACTGTATGTTTTAAGTGAATTTTTTTTTTTTTTTTTTTTTGTGTGTGTGTGTGTGTGTGGTGCTGGGGATTGAACTCAGGGCCTTGTGCATGTGAGGCAAGCACTCTACCAACTGAGCTATATCCCCAGCCCTAAGTATAAGTTCTGAACCACAGTTTCCAATGTGATCCCTGAATGAGCCCAGGCACCTTCCTGCACCCTATTCAGTGGGGAGGTTCACACATTCTGCTGCAGTCTGGCTGGGCACGAATAATCGAGATGCTGTGGCTCTCAGCACATTCAGTCTCCCCTCATCTACCATCCTGCGGGTGTCCTTCTTTGGGAACTGGGTAGCAGTGTATAGCAATAACATCCTCGCTTTTGTTTGGGGAGTGCAGGGAGAAGGGGACACTTGCACAAGACATTTCTTATGGATTACCATCAAATGTTTATTTGAAATTTAGAAACAGAGGAAATGGAGCTCTTGTTATTCACTGTATGGGTGTGCATGTATGTGTGTGTTTAAAGAAGAAAGGGCTTTGGTTGCCCTTGTATGAATGATTCACTTCTACCTGGATTGTGTCTTCCTAATCTTTGTTTCAACAGATTGTTCCTCAAGTAGCCTTTCTTAAACTTATTTCTCAGTAAGCAAATCAATGAACTGGACCAAAAAAAGCGTCCCATTTAGAAAAATTAATGCCACCTCTTAGAAGTCCTACTCTGTCATACCTGTGGATCTTTTAGAAGAACCATGTTGGTTTGCAGCTGTATTACACCTGGCCCATGGTTGGTGCCTAGAGCACAGGTATGCTGTTGTGTGGCAATGTGAATTGGTTTTGAAAAGGATATGTGCCTGCAGACCATCATATTCATGAATTCAGGGGTTGGAAGATCTTTGTCTATGAATTGATAGTAACATGTTCCCATGTTCAGGGCCTGGTTTTATATTTGTATCTAGGATGAAGAAATGCTTATTTTTTTAAAAGTCCTTTCAGTACTTATTGAAGTTTTATGGCCCTTCATAATAGTAAAAGTTGCTTAAGTTATACTTGTGGTATAAATGATAATATTGACCATTGATTAGACAACTGTTATCCTAGTTTTTAACAGATAAACGAATAGATGCAGAAGGGCCACGTAATTTGCCTAAAGTTCCACAATGAGTCAAAGGCTTCTTGTGTACAGATATGTTCATTGATGGACATCCATAATTAGTTATAATATGGATAAATATTTGCATTTACTTTTTTTATAGTATGCTGTTTTATATTATTTTGTTCATTTTTTTTTTTTTTTTGAAAATGGGGTGTGGATTGGAGAGGGTTAATTGCTGCCTGGGTATTCCTTACCTAACCTGGCCATAGTATTTCCTAAGGTCCTAAGACCAGATAACCACATTCTTCTCTCCTGTGCACTTTACCTGTATTCTTATCTTTCTGTTGTGTCTAAGACTTGAAAGGAAACTTAGCTCTTTGACGGCTAACTTGCTGAATTGTGCCATGGACAGGTGGAAGATGAGGTCCACGCCTGCCCTTTGATTTTACTGAGAGCAGGTAGAAAGGCTTCTTTGTTTCAAAAATTTCCCTGTGCTTTGCTTTCTGAAGCACCGCCTCTGGAATGTGACATCCTGTGTGTGCCAGACACCGTCACTGCCCACCACAGTGGCAGCTTAGAGTAGAAAATCAGCTTTGTTTTAGATACACCCGAGTGACAGTTTATTCTTTACAGATTCTGTGGTAAAAATGTAGCCATACTTTCCCTCTTGTAAAGTATAGGAGCTCGGGGAAAGGCACATGTTGAAAATCATTAGTTGACCAAATATTATTATTATTTAAAAATAGGTAAGGAGCCAGGTGTGGCGCCAGTAATCCTAGGTACTCAGAAAGCTAAGGCAGGAGGATCATGAGTTCATGTCCAGCCTCAGAAACTTAGCAAGACACTATCTCAAAATGAAAAATGAAAAAGAAAAGCTGGGGATGTAGCTCAGTGGTAAAACTCCCCTGGGTTCAGTCCCCAGTACTACAGCTATTACTACTACTACTACTAATTAAATACAAATAAATAAGGAATTGGAAGGGGAGCAGAAACGGGTCATACAAAGTTTTAGGAAATTTTAGAATGCTCCACTCTTGCATCTCAAGCTCATAGAACTGATATATATATATATATATTAAAGTGAGAAATGAAGAAGATATGATTATTGGTTATGAAATATCTTGATTACTGGCAGGAAGTAGGATTATTAATTTCTGTGGCGATTTCATATATGAAGAGGATTATTTGCTGTGAGATAATAATACCGCCTTCATTCCACCACACTTTATAGTTTTCAGGACATTTTCACATGGTGTTATATTATTTGATCTCTATAGTAATTTGTGGTTTAAAGGAGGTTGAGTAGCTGAGCCAAGGGCACCAGGTAGGTAAGGAACTGTTTCTCACGTTGAGGCTTCCTGACTTTCTGCGTGGTCACGACCCAGTTGTGAACAACTTGTCCGGTTACAGGAAGGCACACGTCTGCCAAGTTATAGTGACTGGAGTGGGATTTTCTGGCCTCAGATACTGGAGCATGTTAATCAGTGGGAGCTGATGTTACTTATCAGCCAGGGACAAGAGTTCAGGGATTCTATAAGCTTTCTCAGCCCCAATACTGGACTTAGACACAGACCCCAAAGTGCCTTTAAAAAATTAATGACCAAAAATACAGACTTGGCACCTAAGAGCTGAAATTGATGACAAAAGACCTGTTTCCATAATGAAGATGGAAAGATGTCACCTGATGAATGTGAAGAGCAATGACAGAGTCAGGATGCCCAGGTTCTAGGTGGCTCTGTACCACATGCTGGGTGCTTGCTGACATTTTAAAAAAAATTTTAAAAATTTGTTTTAATTAGTTATACATGACAGTAGAATGCACTTTGATCCATTGTATATAATGGAGTGTAATTTCTTATTCTTCTCGTTAACGCATTATGTAGAATCCCACTGGTCGTATAGTTATTTACATACATAGGGTAATAATTTCTGATTCATTCTACTGTCCTTCCTACCTCCATACCCTCTCCCTTCCCTTCACTACTCTCTATCTAAAGTAACTTTGTTCTTCCCTAGCCCCTTCCCCATGGTGAATTAGCATCCGCATATCAGAGAAAACATTTGACCTTTGGTTTTGGGGATTGGCTAATTTCACTTAGCATGATATTCTTCAGTTCCATTTGTTACCAGCAAATGTCATAATTTCATTCTTCTTTAAGGTTGAGTAATTCATATATGTGTGTGTGTGTGTGTGTGTGAGAGATATATATATTACATTCTTTTTATCCATTCATCTGTTGAAGGGCACCTAGGTTGGTTCCATAGTTTAGCTATTGAGAATTGAGCTGTTATAAACATTGATGTGGCTGTGTCCCTGTAGTATGCTGTTTTTAAGTCCTTTGGGTATAGACCAAGGAGTGGGATAGCTGGGTCAAATGGTGGTTCCATTCCAAGTTTTCTGAGGACTTTCCATACGTTTTCCATAATGGTTTCACAAATCCTCATTCCCACCAACAATGTATGAATGTACCTTTTCCCCTACATTGTCTCCAACATTTATTGTTGTTTGTATTCTTGGTAATTGCCATTCTGACTGGGGTGAGATGAAATCTTAGAGTAGTATTGATTTGCATTTCTCTAATTGCTAAAAATATTGAACATTTTTTCATATATTTATTGATTGATTGTATTTCTTCTTCTGTGAAGTGTCTGTTCAGTTACTTGCTGACATATTTAATGCTACTTATTATCATTCTTTTTTCCAGAGCATGGACCATAGGTGAGACATAGTAACAGCCTAACCACAGCTTTAGTTGATCCTGTTCTAAGAAATTATGCAATTTGTATCTTTCAGCTTAAAAGGTTCATTATGGAATTTTAAAATTCTGTTTTTATACATGTTTTTTCTATACAAGTCAAACTTGAATAGTCTGCAGAGTATCCCAAACTTTTTATTGGGGGGAAAAATGAAACCACTCATTTGTGTGTCAGCCCTGTATGAGCCATTTCTTGTGGAAACGACTCATATTTTATCTTTTCTTTATTACAGAGTGGAAAACCACCCATCAATGATATGTTCACTGACCTCAAAGATGGAAGGAAGTTATTGGATCTTCTAGAAGGACTCACAGGAACATCACTGGTGAGAGGAGTCATCTCTGAGAATGAGACTAACAGATTGTCTTTGGTCATTACTGACTCTTGGAGACCTATTGTGGGTATTTAAAATGTAAAGGCTGCAGAAGAACATTTTAAAAAGCTGTGCTTTGATAGAGCAGCATTTAGGCATCTATTTCTATCCAGGATTTCAGTATCAACTTTGTGTTTGCTTCTTTATCAAATTTAACTCTATTACTTTATGTGTAAGGTTCTGTGTTTTCTCATGGAGATAACACTCTTGAAGAGAATGTATTTTGTGGGTATAAACTTCTTTTTTTTGTTGTTATAAATTTTTACACCAGAGGCAGAATTACTATAAAGGTATAGAGGGATGTGCTCCTGCAAAGATGAATTCTTTTCTTGCCAAAGCATGGATGTGACACTCTCAGTTCCTCCATGTGGTAGCTAGGCATCTGGTGGAGAGGCAAATCCTTCTCCCAGATAAGATTCCCTGGCCATTGAGGTGGAAGGAAGCTGCTCAGGTTACCTGACCCCAGGTGGGGAAGTTCTGCCTTCCAGGTGGACCTCGAACTAGTGCCAGGAAACACAGGCTAGTGCTTGGAATCCCCTTTGCTTTGTGGTTCATTCACACCTGTGCAGAACAGAGGGGACCTCCTTCTCCTGTATCTTTATACATCCAGATCCATTTACATAAAGGGAGCTTTGTTCTATAGCATGGGTTCCCAAATGTGTCTGCCTGTTAGAATTACCTTTTACAGGTTCCAAACCCACACCACATTCCAGAATCATTAAGTCACAGTCTTTGAGGGAGGGGGTGGCACAACCATTAGTAATTTTTGAAGCTTCCTAGGACATTCCAATGTGCAGACAAGTTAGCGAATCAGTATTTTAAGATATTGTTAGTTGGGGAATTTGCATCACATAAACTCTAGTGTCTAGGGTGGTGGCCCAGGCTTTGGGGCCCCAAGGATGCGGGACACAGCTTGCTGAGCTGCTGTTTCACATACATTTGAGTCTTTGTTGGTCAGGCATATGGAGGGATACTGGGTCTTACTTGCTTTTTGTATTTTATTTTCCAGCCAAAGGAACGGGGTTCCACGAGGGTACATGCCTTAAATAACGTCAACAGAGTGCTGCAGGTTTTACATCAGAACAATGTAAGCTTGTAAAGTGACTTCTAGGGTTTGGTTCTGCCATCTGCATTATTTATTGTGAAACCAGCTTCCTGTGCTATGCATTGGTGTCAACTGATTCTTAGAAATGTCTTTTTTTTTTTTTTTTTTTAATTGAAAGTATTGGATCTTTTCTATGAGTGAAGGAACAGTCATGGGCTCTTTCTGGTGGCTTTATTGATCTATCATATAAATAATATACTTTTGAGAAGTAAGTTTGCCTACTTCTCTAATATGAGATTTCTTTTATCTCTCATTTATATTGTTGTGCAAATGTATTACATTGAAAATCTGTATTTCTCTGAAAAAAATTGTTGTAAAAGGTATTTTTTCTTTCGTCTCGACAGGTGGAATTAGTGAATATAGGAGGAACTGACATTGTAGATGGAAATCACAAACTGACTTTGGGACTACTTTGGAGCATCATTTTGCACTGGCAGGTGGAGAAATTTCCAGTCACTTTTGAATAGAAAATTTTGAAAATATGTTTTTGTGTATTTGTTTCCTAGGGGTGCATTGACAAAGTACTAATCTGCTAGGTTGGAGCAACAGAAATTCATTGTCTTGCAATTCTGCAGTCTGGGAGTATAAGTTCAAAGTGTCTGTAGGATTGGGTTCTTCTGAGGGTGTTGAGGGAGACTCTTCTTCTTACTTGTCCCCCAGCTTATGGTGACAGTTGGTGATCTTTGGTCTTTGTTGGCTTGTGGCAACATAGCTCCAAGCTTCACAGGACACCTTCCCTGTGTGTCTGTGTTCATGTTTCCTGATTTAGTTAAGGACACAGCCATATTGTATTTAAGGCCCACCTTGCCCCAGAATGACCACCCTACCTTAACTGATTACATATCCAATGACCTTATTTCCAAGTAAGGCCCCGTTCTGAGCTACTGGGGGTTAGGACTTCAACATGGGGAATTTGAGAGGACACAGTTGGACTCATAACAATTTAGAATGGAAGAAGCTGACAAGCTGCTCTGTTTTTCTGGAATAAGAAAAGGGAGTATCTATTTTTCTTATATTGAATGAAAGAAATTAACAAAGCTTACAGAAGAGTTGCAAGAATCATTTAAGATATTTGCAAATACCCTCATTCACATTCCCCAAATGGCAACAGTTTCCCTTATTTCTTTTGCTCTTTCTCTCTGTCTAAATACTTCTGTGTGTATTTCTAAAAATGTGGCATCCTCCTAAAACCCAGGAACTCTTTTACATAGCCATAATATAATATTAATATAGCAATATAAAAATGTATAATATCAAAAATGTATAGTATCAATATGTATAATTATTACATTATAATATAGTAATTTATCCATCCATCCATCTTCCCTTCTCTCCATGTGTTCTTTTGTGTATCAGCAGATATGTCATGGAATTTACATAGATTTATAATCTTTTACTGCTATTAATCATTTTGATGCTTAAGTTGTCCGAGATATGGCTAGTGTGAGCCCCTTAAGTTTGCTCTTGG